TGCAACGGGAATTACTATACCTAGTACGTAAATGAACAAAACAAAACAAAACTTTCGAAGTCTAGTTTTATGCGCCGGCACGAAGTTTGATAATCAAAAAGAAAACCGCGCTTTATGCAGTGCTCGTGTAAAAGACTGGGATATGCTTGGATAAACAAAGGTTTTGAGACATTCCTTCAGTGGGTTCTCATGGTGGAGGGCCGAATGCTCACTGAAAACGAACATACCTCATGGCAGTTTTGGCGGATTAAATACAGAGTTTTAGTGTTTGTATAGTCAAGAGACTGAAAGTGGGACGAAAGGTCGATACCTGTCAGTGGTGTCCCCTACAAGCCTCCAGCCATCACTTTTTTTTTGCATCAGATTTTAATTGCGTTTGCAGCTATCTAGCTATGACACAATATCAAAGAAAAGTACAGAAAAGATGACTCAATTTACAAGAAGAGTACTCATGCCTCAGATTTCATCAGCAAGTTCCAGCCATCACTGTAGAGTCTACAGAGCCGAGATGGATCTACACTTTTTCAACCTTGAGCTTAGCTATCTTCCCCTGCCTCAAAGATACAATTCCGATTACCCATGTGACGATTAAGACGACGATAATGATGTTGGGAAAAACGAAAGATATTACGGTGCTAAGCGCTAAGACGTTAGAGGAGCCCTCGTTATATCACAATATGTGCTATCCACCGGCGCGCAAACAAAAAGTACATAAAAGCAAAGTAAAAGACTCTTCCGCCTTTAAGAAAAGCAGATTCCGACTCGTCCATGACATTGACTTTATCTTTACTTCCGACTCCATAGACGAGGAGGGCATCGAAAGTACATGAGTCACTCGACAACCCTATGTCGGTCTCAAATTTTGGGTGCTAGGCTAGGCTACTTCACGGCAGTAGCTCGCGACCAAGGTCCTTTCAGCATCCGTTCACGAGATAGGGTATGTCTTGCGGCATGAATCGGGGGAGTAGAGTGGGCACTACGAAGGATGAGAGACGCTCTTAGGTATACACAGGTCAAGTTCGCCTAGCTTATCGGCCTCTTTGAAAGCTTCAAAGGAATAGCTTCGTCTTTGGACTAAGTCTTGCTGTCGATATTAAGAGAGACCGACACCCACTGGTTTCAAAGTCACTTCGATGTAGCTACACATCCGCAAACAGCTATCGTTTGGTTATCTGGGGAGGGGAGATAATGACGGGTTATCGACTCCTAGTGTGTACGCAAGTTAGTTCTGTGGGGATTTTACCACAGGAAATATGTCTAGAAATAGGGAGTACACAACCTGAGGCAGATAGGAACTAAATGTGCTTGTATATTCATAGGCTTAATAGGACAATAAATACATTATATAATGCCAAAAGATTCATCTTGTTTATAAGTCACCGGTAATTTGTCATAGCTATTTGCCGACCCAAGGATAAGATAAAGTAACCTAACCACTAGGGCCACTCGAGGTGCGTGTAGCTCTATACACGCCTCTTTCCCGTAACAAAATGGGCCAACTGATCCAGTTTACAACCACCATTTCGAGAAATTAGTGTGCTCCGTAAACTCATCATATGTCTTCTCGATGACTAAGAAAAGTGAATGGGCGACAGCTTCGTCTTCGACGCCGCTATCAAATCCGATGATGATCAACTTCATTATAATGATGCTTGGGGGGGTTTGCCGAGAGTTGAAGAAGATTCAGACCGGGAGACTATCTGGAAATCGCCTTCGAAATGATGATGAGGTTGTTACTCAAGCTCGGCTCTAGAGGTTATACGGCCATGGCTGAAGGCTCGTGTATCATACCAATGAGCCATGTTGAGCTTTCGTTCTTAGACCAAGTCACGCGATGAACGAGGTAGAAAGGAATGCTACACTTGTAATTCTAATTATAAGCTAAACCACTTCGCTTAATTAGTCTCCACTTAAATCGATTAGCTGAAAATACTCAAATCTAAATCCCTGTCTCCATAACCATAGCCCCACAAGTTAAATAATCATGCACGTGATGCATATGCTGTCCTTCCACCGGCCATATCGAGAGAGTCACCTTGATGAAACGGATATTTTTCTGGTTTCCCTGACCTTCAATCTACTGAGTTAATTCGATTTAATACGATAATGTTAGACTCCTCACTGCAGAGCATTGGCCTCCATGGTCTAACATGGGGACCACCGATCACGCTAGAAATGTGGACGAATGAAAAAAGAGAACCTGATAAAATTAATTTCATTTGTGTCATGTGTATAGCATTGACTAAGGGGTCCAGAAAACTGTCATTAACCACTCCACTTAAATCAGAAAGTAGCATGTACATGTAAATGGAAATTACTGCCAATGTCAGTCTTTCCGTTGATATCTTTAAAGTGCGGATGTTACAGGCTATAGCCTTGTATGTGGATCCGGAAATATTCGGCTCCGGCTATGAGCAAGAGCGCGCTAGTCTCACGGGAAAACGCGCTCGGTGGGTACATATTATGCCGTGCGCACGCCCAGGGCATTCCGGTTCTTAGATAAAATATAAATTCATTCTTGGACCCACAAGATTGAACATCAGATTTGAAGTCCCCTCACAGCAGATAGCTAAAATTTTGATTCAGAGCGTTTCCAACCCCGAGTGTCATAATTCGTTACCGTGAGCCTTAATTCTAAATGTTCGACAGATGTTAATGGGCGTGTGAACCGATGTGGAAACAAGTGTGCAGCCACCTTGATGATTTTCCATATCCACCTTCACGGTCATAGGCCCAGTGAAGACATTTATCGAAATTCGATTCAGTTATTCGCATAGAAGACACTACCGGGGGTTTTCTCCCTATTTTCAAGGGGTTCCCATTTCTCATCCTTGACCAACTATCTTTTAAATCGTTCAATTCTTTTTCGTAGTCGATGGGTCTACATAATTTTAGCGTTTAAAATTTCATATTCCAGATGAGAGATGCCGGGTTAACAGCGCTCGAGCAGTATCATTTGGCTTACATCCTTATTGCACAGCAGAGCAATTCAATTTACAGTCCTCACTTCTATGAGGATTCCCGATCGTTTTCGTGGTCTATATCGTCTTCTTCCCTCAACACAGGTGGTGTTCTCCGGTATAGTTTGAGTAGCCTGGGCATCTACTCCACTTGGGAAGGTGACGCCTCAGACCATATTTCGCGCGGAGAAAAGTTGAAAGATGATGAAGGCATGTCTGGATAACCCAGGGTTTTTGAGATGTTCCTCTGAGTGGGTATTCACGGATAAGGGTTGACTTGGGGTGAAGAAGAAGCCACCATAACTTCGCAGTGGTACCTGCAAATGAAATCCGAGGCATGAGTGCTCTTCCTTTACGTTGAATCATCTATTCTGTACTTTTCTTTGATATTGTGTTATAGCTAGATAGCTGCATACGCAATTAAAATCTGATGCAAAAAAAATCCCTCAACACAAGCCCCAATCACCTTTATCATGAAGCTATTCACGATCAGATCGGATGGTAGAGTCGAAGCCCTACTCATCACCAACCCTTGATTATGGAGGAAATGCCATCCGATGAGTTTCCGAAGCGTACCTTGCAACCGATACGGCGATGGTAGACTGGATCAAGTTGGCCTCGAATGTTATAAAAAAGGGAGATGTAGATGAATATGCGCACCTCATGTGGTCCCGGTGTCTCGGCCTCGCCTAGCTGGGACTGCAGGTTTTTTGAGACTTTTTCCGCGCACGCAGTCCCCATTGCTACCATTTTTTTTTTTTTTAGGTTTTGGGTTGGTCCCTAACTGACTACGAGAGCAAAGTTGAAAACTATCTAATTAGAATTTACAAAATGTAGCTAGTATCTTATAAAGTTACTGGGATTCCTTCATGGTCATTGAAGCAGTTGGGACTGTAATAAAAATCAAATCTAATCTTATCTATTTTTTTAGGCTCGAAGGTTCTATGGAAAAGATTGCTGAACTCTGCAGGTAAACACTGAGCTGATTGGCTTTTCGTTACGGGCAATGTATCAATGATCTTTTAAGTAGAAAAAGAGGATAGAAGCACCGTACAAGGTGTGGCCTGAGTCAGAGAGAAGCCTGACGTGCTAGGTTTTCATCGACTCTAGTTGCACAAGAAATCTAACAAAATTTCAATTTACACCTCTGCCGGCGTTATAATGTTGTGCATTTTCCTGAGCAAGCCGTGTGTCACGAAAATTGTGGAGCTATGACGGAGCTCGCTTGCAGTTACCAATGCTTTATTTCTGCGACGAAACATAAGCTGTGAAGGCCAGTTAAGCTCCCGCTCCGGATGTTGCGGGATGCCTTCTCGTGATATTCCGACGGACTTGAGTACACGAACTTCAACATAACGGTTGTAGCGACCTCAATTGAGTCTATTTCACATCTCCAAAATTATCATGTCATGCAGACCAGAAAACGTCCAGAATCAAGCCACCATCGACCGACGATTCACCTGACACGCCCGTTTTCCTTATGCCTCTAAATACGGATTTGTCATTTGCCAGATCCCAAATTATCAACTACAAGGGCGGTGTAGTTTCTAAGACCTACTCTTAAAAGAGGATTTAAATAGGGAAATCTAAGGTGATATGCGGAGTTTGAGTTAAATCAAAAAATCAACCATCTAATAACCTATCGCTAAATGTGAATGCGATAATATTTATAAAGTCTCAAGCCGACTTTACAATCCAAGGTTTGGGTATCATGGGCAACCTTCCCCTACCTTGGCGCACCAAGGATACATGTAAGAGAGACAGAAAGAGCAAAATGGCGGTGCCATAAATAATAACCGGGTTATATGCACCAAGGCATGACAAAATAATTTTACAGATTATATATCCCATGTTCGATGACACAAAAGAAGAGTACCACCTAACACGCATTAGAAACGCCCGCCCCGAGTATTCTTTACCCGAATACTACTTGTGCCTCTGAGCGCCTTTCCCAAACGGAATGATGACAAGGATAAAGGGTTTGTGTGATTGAAGTCCCAAAGGATGGGGGATAAAACAGTGACAATGATCATCAGAAATTTATGAAAAACGCCGTTGTGGCATTGATTGTCCGTTAATGACTGACGGCTGTTGTTGTTGATGACTCAATGGAGCGCCAATACTATATGGGTTCATTGGCGCTGTGAAACCTCCTTCATTTATGAGCTGGTGCATATTCATGCCACTAATCCCTTGGGCCACTGAGACGGGACACTCTTTATGGGCTAGTAAAAGCGTTTTGATATGTACAATCTCATCTCGCAGAGCTTGAATTTGTGCGTTTAGACCCTCATTTTCAGATGCATAGACCTCAACCTTAGCTTGGAGGCTATTCAACCACTGTTTTTTGCGCTGTCTACATTTTAAGGCTGCAATCCTATTGAAGTACGTTAGCTTTCGTTATTTGTTAAGATTTCGGCACCTACCGATTTCGTTCAAGGAAATTTTTTCTCTTTTCCTCGTCGGTCATTTTTTTACCGTCAGCGCCCAGTTCGCTGTGGTTCCCGGTTTCATCTTCAGACATAGGTTCTTCCACGCTGTGTGAATTTCCATTATTGCCTTTCGATTTCTTGATAGGATGGCTCTTGGTAGATGACTCAGAAGCCTTTCGTCGACCATTGGTTGTAAGTGGGTTTCTTTTATTTTTGTCCCGCGCTTTCATTTTATTGCTCTCATTTTCTGATGCACTATCGTCACCCCTAGAAGCAGTACTAATAGAGGCCCGTTTTTGGTGTTGAGAATTGGATGTATTGTCCAAAGGCTTGCTACAGTCAGCCCTCTCCTTGTTTACAGGAGGTACCTGTACGTGGATCGGTATCTGGGAAGTAGCCATTTGGTATTGTCCTGGAAGCTGTTGCCCATCTCGCGATTGTGCTAACAAAAAAAGGCCACTGGCAGCCGCGTTTGCGTCATCAAACTGCCCAGGGGCAACAGATTTCACTTCCATAGAGCTCAAGTGCTCTGAAGACTGTGGTGTTATATCATTTTGCTGCTGTATCTGACTCCTCTTTTGGGCATTCATCGCAACCCGATGAAACTCAAGAGTTGAGGGCGTAGCAGTCCCACTAGTTATCGGATTAAATATCGATGATGAATTCGGGATTGGTTCGGGAAACATAGATCCACTGCCACCCGGCGTGAGACCCGCGCGGACATGCGAGTCAGCTCCGGGAGTAAAGCCTGACCTTAAAGCCGATTCGTTTGCTGTGATGAACCCACCGCGCAAATCTCGGATATGGTGTCCGTCCGCAAAGTAGTCCTCATTTGACTTTTGAGGTCCACCAATCATAGCAGGGCTCACGGGCCCGGACCGTAACGAATTCGGACCCCAGTATGCTCCCGTAATTCCTGGACCCAGCATTCCAGCGGGTGAGGTCAAATTGGAGACGGGTGGAAGTCGGGTTCCACCCGGGGTCTGTATAGCTCCGCAATTCGAGTTGTTACTACTTCCGCCAGCAAATGAAAAGTCGAATGGGTTAGCTTCTGAAGCCAGATGGCCATGAGTTCCTGAAAAGTAATCACTCGACTGATTAGGTGGCTGGCCTGGTCGCGGAGGGGCGAGGGGTTCTTTGGCTTCTGACTTGATTTGCTCTGGCTTTTTGGCCAGGTCTAATTAGCTGAGTTAGTGGAGAATCTCTACTTTGTGATTTTTTAGCCTGAACAACGCCAGCTGAGTCAATGGAAATTGTACGATGGGGGTTCAATAATTATTATGAGTATGTCCAAAATAAAAAGACACAATATTTCTGTAGACGGTAGCAAAGAGACTAATAACTTACCATTTCGTTTAGGTATCTCGACTTTAGCTTGTGCGGGTGATGCTATGTCCACTTTCTTTATTGTAGACTCCCGAGAGGTTTCCATATTGGTTTTCCAGTGGGCTACTGCCACCGGTGGGTAGTTGTTCGCAATGACGAACGGATGACGATATCCGGCTAGCTTGATTGGGGTTTTTGGTCGCAGTTGCGTTTATTGGCGACGGATGTGATCCGAGGTGAAAGGTTCTTGGGGGCGCCGCTGCGAACGTAGTAAATATGACGACACTAAGTTTGCGACCCGTGTACTATCCTTCAAAGCAGAACACGGCGATAATTTACCCTCTCTTCACAAGTTTTCAAGGGTTCGGATATCCTGGGCCACGACTCTCCTCTTTGCAACAGGATCTGACACAATAATTCTATGAGGAAGTTGGTCGTGTGAAGACTGATTAGCTGATTGAAGTTTCAATCCCTGTCGAGTGTAAAAATTTCCGCTTTTCCCTTTTGGAAGCGTCAGAGGCACAATCAGAAGGAAAGTAAAAAAAGATTCGGGATCTTGTTCTTACGCGACACTATTATCGTTATCAGATCACAGATGAAGCGAGTCCGCAAAATTTCCCGTCTACGGATAATGTCGCAATGCTTGCGTGCGTCTGATGTGGATGGCTAGAAGCACAAGGTCAATTCGCTCGCCAACAGTGAAAGCCAAACAACCGACACAGGTTGCTGCCGAAGATAGATCAAGAATAAACGTGACAGTTTTAACTGGAGTTAAGTTCAGTGTCTAGTAGAAAATTCTGGCAGGCCACACGCGAAGTAGACTGAGGCTATGGTTCGATATCGTGAAATTGTGAAAGTTGTGAGGAGTGACTCTAATGAATGACGCAGGCAGAATGACGACAACGGGGGGGGAGGGGGACAAGTTTGATCCATTCTTTCCAGAGACATCTCACTATACCTTAAATGGAAAGGCGTTGACTAAAAGACACTTACCTCCAATCGGAGCGATATCAAATTATGTCACGCTAAAGCTTATGTCAGCTGAACGACTGGCCATGAATTGATGCTTTTTACCTGTGCATTGTGTTCACGTGCGGACGCGGGACTTAGCATCAAGCTGTTTTTCTCGTGGACAAAGTAGTAATCGAGAGAAAAGCGCATTAAACGGGAGCATGTAAATTATTTGAGTAGAGAGTTACTTTTTGTTATCGTTGTATACACTACTTCTGTATTTCTAAACTATCCCCTTTCATGCGATTCTCGAAAAAATTATCTTCTATGTCTATCTCATCCCCTTTATTCCTCCATAGTCTTAGTCTCAGAAGGGACTAAAATATAATTCTTATCTCATCCCCTTAGTTTTCCGATACTTCTCTTCTCATAACTTAGCCCCTTCTTTACCTGAGCAGGGCTCCTTGCCCAAATCCATTAAAGGACTACCGTCACACCCGATCGGATCGTCGGTTCCCCGCTCGGAAAAATCGGAATTGTCTGAACAGTGAGCATCCATCAGCGAATCTGTTTACTCCACGTCACTTTGGAACTCATGCGCTAGTTTTTAACACTAGCAGTCAAACATACGTCTCGGAGGTCAAGTCACGTAAGACAAGAGGGACACAATTTGGTTTTTATCCGGCATCATTGCAAAAGTTTATCCAGCCCATCACTCGTGCTATAAATAGAATATTCTAAATAACTTCGATTCCAAGATGGAGAGGATTATGCGAGAAACGCTCGGAGTTTCCACCGGATGCATAGAGTCATAAATTGGCGCCAAACCTCATAGAATATAGATATATACACGGTTCAATTTGCTTCAATATCGACAACGCTTCTGCCTCGTAGTGGTATTGATAGAGATTGATTGATTGAATTTTGTACAATTGCTATTTGTTGCTCGTGAAATGACTATCTCTAGATTTCAAGGGCAAAGATTTGTCAGAAAAAAATGCAAATCCTTACCATTTTTGCTCAAAAATCACCCTCAATCTGCGCTTGGTAGGCTAGAATAATGGTTTTTTGCTCGGCGAGTAAATAACCTATCATTGACCCTTCTTGGTCTAAGACTAAATAGAACGTATAGGTTCTCTCTGCTTGCGTGGTAGAGATACCTATGGGAGTGGCATATTCACTCTTGTGCCTCACAGGCAGCTCCCCTCAAACAGTACCGTCCCTCACAAGTCTTCATTTGGTCATACACTTGGAGGAACCCTTTGCCCTTCATTATCTCCCCTCTCCAGCCCACAAAACGATGGCCATTTGCGGGTGTATGGCAGCCGGGAAAAATTGCAAAAACCACTGGGTGCGGGGCTCTTCTAATACCGACATTAGGACTAAGTCCGAAGACATAGTGATCCCTCTAAAGCGATCGAAGAGGCCGGCCAGCTGGGCGCTGCAGATTTGTGTGTACCTCGGAGAATTCACACTCTGCCTTTCTTGCCTCCTTCCAACTCCTTCCCGAAGGTCGTGATGAAATGCCAGAAAAGTCTTGACAGAGTATGATCGCTGTATGGTAGCTTAGCTGTTATAATAACTAGGCTATATGGGAGCAGGACGATGGATACTCTTGGGGAAGTTATGCTCACAGTAGGTCTCTATAGTCGCTGTCGCGTGTGTTCTCGTGATATGTAAGACTTGACTCTATATTCTCGTATAAAGGAAACTTAGTTACAAATGAATGGACGGAGGTTGAGACCTCCTTATATCTTGCTCCAGACTTACTGTGTTGTTCACAGCCTAGTGCTAGAACATTCCCTTATGATATCATTTCTCTCCTACGAGAAATGACCAGCTCGTTCTCTCTCAGTCCATCAGTCTCTCGCTGATTCCGTTATCTCTATTCCATCTAGTTCTAGTTTGGTCCAGTATACTCACACATGCATCACACATGCATTACACACTAAACACCCTACGGTTTAGTTCCACAGTCACGTGCATATGCTATGACGCGACCTAAAGCATGTACCATGGTAAGTTACATGGATAACACAACACTCCCCCTGACGACAATAGACGTCTAACAATTTTGAAGTTGCATTCTAGAACTGATGTGTTCAGGATGGACGCCGAACATTTTCGAGGAATCAGCACTCATTTTATTTGTACTGAAGAATTTGCCTTTGTCAGACTATCCGCAAGTTGTTGATCCGATGGCACATAAATCACTGCAATCGCTTCTTGTTGATACTGTTGGCGACAGTAATTATTCCGCAAAGCAATATGCTTCGAGCGCTTATGGTTGTCGTGATTTTTAATCAGTGACATCGCGGATTGATTGTCGACGTACAAATTCGTTCGTTCCGACCCTTCAATGAGTTGAGCAAGGCCTAATTCGATTAGTAATGATTTAACCCATTGCAGCTGTCGACATGTCTCCGTTGCGGCTAAATACTCCGCCTCTGTTGTTGATAAAACAACCTCTCGTTGTAAGTGAGATCTCCAACTCACTGGCCCCGATGCTAATCTAATAAGGGAACCCGATGTCGATCTGCTCGAATTTGGGTCACCGGCAAAATCTGCGTCCGAGTAGGCTTCTAGAATTGGTCTTCTCTTCTCCGTCTTGAAGGTTATCCCTTTCTCTGGATCTTTCGAAATATATCGAAGAACTCTCTTTGCTGCCAGGAAATGCTCGTCTGATGGATTTGCTAAGAATCGTGCCAGATGGTTGACGGAGTGGGCTATATCGGGACGTGTGTTATTCGCAAGATACTGTAGCCCACCCACGATCGAATTATACTCTGCCTTCTGTTTTGGTGAACACTGAGAGCTATTGGGCTCCATTAAGCGCTCAAGTGGCGAGTTTGCTGGCTTACATTCCTCTAGTCCATGCCTTGTGAGTAATTTCCTCGCGTACTGGCCTTGCGATAATTTAAGCGTTTTATTATTTGGGTTACTAATACGAATCCCCAGGAATAGATCCGTCTTCACCGTCTTCAGCTTATACTTCTTGTACAAGGCCTTCATCAACTTCTCTACTTTCCCAATACTCGGTCCCATCACCTGAAAATCGTCGACGTGGATTATCACAAACAAATCCTTCTCTTTATTACCATAAAGGCATACGTCTGTTGTGAATGGGAATAGCCCCTGATGGGCTAGGAAAGCTTTAACATCATCGTACCATAAGGCTGCGGCTTGCTTGAGCCCATACAGACCTTTTCTAATACGGACAACGTAACCCTCTTTCTTGAATCCCTCTGGCATCTCCATATATAGATCTATATCTAGATCTGGATTCAAAAATGCTGCCGGGACATCTCCTTGTTGCCTATACCAACCGAACCTATGTGCCAGGACCAGCATGATCCGCCCAGTCTCTGCTCGTGGTGTGGGTGCAAATGTTTCCTTATAATCTATGCCCGGACGTTGGGTGAACCCTTTAACGGTACATCGCGCTTTGTATTTGTCGAGGGATCCGTCTGCGAGCAGTTTCTTTTTAAACACCCACTTGCTCTTCATAAGCGTTCGGTCTTTTGGTATTTGGCTACGCTTTATAATTTTAATCACTCCCATGTCCCGCAAAGAGCGATACTCCTCATCTGCCGCTTGTTTCCAATGTTTCGCTTCCTGGCTACTCATCGCCTCTGACCACGATTTTGGATCACTGTGAGGTCTTGTCGCTTTGCCGTGGTGAAGTTTGTAATAATCAACTCTCTTAATTGGTCTACCACGCTTGCTGCGCGTCACTGGAGGTTCTACCGAGTGATGACGCTTATGTCCCGCTATTGGAGGTAGTTCATCCCATCCTGTCATTATTTTGTCATAGACCTCCTCTTCTAGCTCGGTATTTTCAACAACTGGCCCAATCTCTCCCTGATCGGACTGTAAGTTCCCTTCCCTATGGGAGACCTGATTCTCATCTGACTGACGACCAGCTTCCTCAGTATCATCTCTCTGTCCTAGCTGATCAGATCTCTCGGATGGACTTATCGATGCATGTTCGCTATCATATTCACTGGCACTATCAACGGAAGGTGACCTAACTGATCGATGTGGAATTGAAATCAGTTTATCATTCACGACTGATACTTGTGGCCATTGCCCATCACGAATTACAGGAACAGCCGGAGGTTGTGATACTGGCTTATCTTTCGAAGATATTATGGT